TATCTATTCCTTAGCAATATATCATAACTTCTTAAGCAACTGCTCAAAATTCTGATGCGATCGAAATCCACCTTCGCGATCAGAATCAGCATATACTTCCTTTAGGATTTCTCTCTATTCTTTGATTCTTAAAACATCAACATGTGACCCACTCACATCATGTAATGAGGATCTCAGAATAGAACTTAACAGAGTTAGATAATGGGCTCTAACTGATGTAGAGTCAAACTTATTGACTTTAACATCCTTAGGTAAATTTGGCAGCTTTGCAATCAACGCCCCTTCCTTTGGCAAAATAAACATATGGACCATTTGGTAATGGGACTATCTCAGACTTAGCCTTTCTCTTTTACCATTTGGTCAACCGGGTTGACTATGGCCAATCCCTTTCCATTGGGAAGAGAATGCTTTTTCTGGATTTCCAGTGTCACCATTGTCACTGTCCATAAAGTTTTTTGGGAAGTTGATCTTCTAATCAAATTTTCTTTACTATCGTTCCAAATCATTGCTGATTCAGCAGCACCAAGCAAATAGATATGATCATTAAGGTTCATATCATAGTCTGTTTCATAGTAGTCCCAAAGGAACTCACTATGTGACTTACAAAGTGATTGAACATCCAAATTTCTCAAGACATTGACACCCAACTCTCCCGGCTTGTCAATATGTGACTTCATCTCTAAGATGTGATCACACATAGACCTTGCTTGCCATTAGGGCTTGAGTGACCTTGAACTTGTGGGTTAGGGAGAATAATTGGAGGAGGTGGAGGAAGAGAAGTATGACTTCCATGAGCCAAACTCGGGAAGTCATATTCATTAGGAAAGCTTGATTTGGGAAGATCATTGTTGTCTAAACCAGACATCAACAATGGGAGAAATTCACATAAAGTTGAGTTAAGTCCTTAATATAACACCCAATATGATATATTAAGGCTAGGACCCAACAAACTATTTTATAACTTGGAAGAGGGATGCCGTAATCCAAGCTATAAAATATTTGAAGGTAGGTGAATGACGATTCACCAATTTCCACCTAGATAAACGAAATGTATTATTAGGTTTTAATTGGTTTTGAAACTCCTAGATTCTTTTGAGATTCATTGAACTTTTCAATGGCATGTTTCAATCTCGAGTGTGCCCTTCAGGTTTTGTGACTGGGATGCCGAGGATCACAAAACAAGGTATGAAGTAACCATGCAAATATACTTGGTACCCTTAATATTTACCCCTCAATCGATGTGCCGGTTAACCACACACGCTCCAACGATACTATGATAAACATTAAGTTACCCTTTGCCTACCTTGTTAAGTCCAAGTTAGTGTGCCGGTTAACCACACATGCTCTACTAACAGCTTAAACAAAGTGCAAAGTGTAATTTCATGGATTAGCACCTTATTCACATTTTCCTAAGTAACTAAGATTGGGAATTTATAAGTGTTTAGTTACTTAGTATTTATCATTATACTTATAATGAAGGGAGAATTATAGTCCTTGTCCTACCTGTTCAGCTAACGACCCTCCACCGGTCAAGGAAGCGGTGAGTGAGAGTGGACACCCATTAAACTGCCATTTTATAGGCAGTTACCTTATACCCCCCTTATAGACCGGCTTCGTGAATGAGGCCTACTAATGGTAAGACGACTTGCTCTTATACATATAATATATTAAATTTTTAATATTATAATAGTATAAGGGTGCATTTTAGACATTTAAAATACTTGGTGGTTTAATCTATTAATTAAACTAGACTTTTAATTTAATTAAACTCAAACCATATATTTATGGATTAATAATACTCTTTTAATTAAACGCTTTAATTAACTATTAATAAAGTCCATAAGAGTTAATTTGAACTATTCAACAAAACATCATAATTCCAATTATTAAAACTCAAAATTAAAACCATTTAATTAATTGTTTAAGTTATGAACCCAAGAGTTTTAGAATTCAATTCTTTTTTTCATAAAAAACTTTTCTCAAATTCCAAAACTTGAGGGCAAGTTTTGTAATTCTTGAAAACCTTTGGATTCCATAACTTATGGAATTAATGGTGTTTTATGATGAAACTTTCCATGTTCCATAACTTAAGAACAAGTTATGGAATTCTTTAAAACATTAACACCAAATTTTGTCACTCCATAAAAACTTTGAATCAAAATTTTTTTAAAAAACTTTCATATCCATAACTTATGGAAGTTTCAAAAACCCTTAAGATCACAACTTTAAAAAAAACTTTTGAGCTCCAAAATTTTATGACAAAATATGTAACTCCTTAAAACATTTAGATCAAACTTTTAAAACTAATAAAATAATCATATGATTTTATCTTTTACTAAATTTGACCTAATTCAACTCATATAACAAATTATTCAAATTTTACAAATAATTCGTTTTTCACAAAACAAGTAATTATCTTAAAATTTGACAAACGTCATGTTTTTTTTCCTTTTTTCTTCAACTTGAAAATAAAACATTTGCATCAATATAACAGAAAACAACTCATGGCTCTGATACCACTGTTGGGTTTTGAGCATTCTAACACTCCTATGGTGTACATGCAACCCTATAAACCTTGGATCTATGTTTTCTCTATTATACATGCAAATATTAACTATTCCAATGTTTCATCATAACTAGCATATTATGAAGCACCTATACTACAAAGTTCTAGTTAGATGACATACCTTTTGATGTAGCTTGATGTCTTCAAGCTTTAAGAGCTTAGCCCCAATAGTGTGGAAGCCTCAAATGGAATCACAAAGCACCAAAACACCTTGGAAGAACTTGAGAGAATATGTATGCACACTAAAATCGGCCCACTCTTATTTTCACACACTTGTGCCAATTTTGTGAGCCAAGGACCCCTTTATATATTATGGAGGATTAGGGTTACATCCATGTAAACCCTAATACCCATGACCTTTCATTTACATAGGATCCATGGGTTAAAAGCTCCATGGACCATCCATGAAAGCTTAGCCCAACCTAAATGAACTTGGCCCATTCCATATATATATAAGAGTCCATATTTAATTAGTTCTTCTTGATCACTTAATTAATTCTTAATTAATTCTTGATCAATACTAATTAAATAATATGATTCCATATTAATATATTAGAACTTATAATATATTAATATAAATCATAAATATATACTATTCTCAAAAGACTATCCATATAAATTGTGCCGGTGAAGTGCAACCCAAATGGACCATGTCGGGTCGGGTCAAGTACATACCAAATATAGTTATGGACTTAGACATTAATCCAACAGTATGTGGACCCTTTAGATCCACCACAAGGGACACTTGTCGCTTCTACGTGACTTTTACAGACGATTAAAGCAGATATGGATATATCTACTTAATCAAGCAAAAGTCAGAAACCTTTGAAAAGTTCAAAGAGTTTAAGAATGAAGTAGAGAATCAGCTGGGCAGGAAAATCAAGATGCTTCGATCTGATCGAGGAGGAGAGTACCTAAGTCTTGAGTTTCACGACTATCTAAAAGAATGCGGAATAGTTTCGCAATTGACGCCTCCTAGAATGCCACAATTGAATGGTGTGGCTGAGAGACGTAATCGAACCTTGTTGGACATGGCTCGTTCTATGATGAGTCATGCTTCATTACCAATCTCATTCTGGGGGTATGACTTAGAGACTGCCGCCCATATCCTTAACTTAGTTCCCACCAAGAAGGTTGCCAAGACACCTCACGAGATGTGGACAGGGAAAGCTCCCTCGTTAGCACATGTCAAGGTTTGGGGTTGTGAAGCTTTCGTAAGACGAGAGACTCACGACAAGCTAGAACCTCGTAGTGAGAAGTGTTATTTCATCGGCTATCCACATAAGTCTTTTGGCTATCTCTTCTATAGACCAAGTGACAATGTTGTCTTTGTTGCTAGAAGAGGAGTTTTCAGAGAGAGAGAACTTATGAGTCAAGGAGACAGTGGGAGTCAGATTGACCTTGAAGAGCTTCAAGAGTCAGGAGATGAAGGAACCTCTGACACTGGCGCTCAACCTGAGGAGGAAACTCCTATTGAAACAATTGACCAGTCCTTACCTCTTAGACGTTCCAATAGAGTTAGTGTTCCACCCCAGTTTTATGGTTTCCATATTACTACTGACGGGGATACGTTTATTAGTGATAGTACACTAGTAAATCTGGACGAACCTAATAGCTATAAGGAAGCCATGGCAGGCCCAGAGTCTGCTAAATGGAAAGAGGCAATGGACAGCGAGATTCGGTCCATGTATGACAACCAAGTTTGGAATTTGGTTGATAACGTACCAGGTCGTAAGACAGTCGGGTGCAAGTGGATCTTCAAGAAGAAGACAGACATGGATGGGAAAGTGCACACTTATAAAGCGCGATTGGTCGCGAAGGGCTTTACTCAAACTCCTCGAGTTGACTATGATGAGACCTTCTCGCCGGTTGCTAAAATAAAGTCAATAATCAATTATTGTATATTAATACATGTTGAGTATTTTCTTTTGTTTTGTAGATCTCATCCTCCATTATAAACCTTTAACTTTTAAATATACACACATAATATTTTATACCGATTATTAAATAATTTATTGATAGTTATCCACAATTCTATTGCGTAAGACTATCGTTTTATATCTAACTTACTAAAATGTTAAGCAAAATGGTGAACTTTGTGTTGGAGTAACCGAAGGTATAAAGAGCTATGAAATCGAATGTTTTTATTGCCTGCTGTTTATTGAAGAACTGATGCCTCTTTAAGTAGCCTAAGAATGCTCCTACAGACCACAACTTCAAAACTACTTGACTATGTCAGTCCACCACCACAAAGCCTCCTCGTTTTGAATTACAAGATTCAACACTATAGCGCTTGTTTTACATATTTCCATTCTCCGGGGTGTTTAAGTGAAAAACCCATAAAGCCAAAGGTGTTTTTTTGTAAACATAATATAAAGTCAACCCCTTGTATTCACGTTAACTTGATTATCTCCGGTCCATGTACACACCATTTAATTTCTGTATTCAACACCCATCGGCAAACTTTCTTTCTCCCGGCTCAAAATGAGTTTATCCAATGCACGACCTCTTTCTGCACCATTGGCAGATCCTCCGAGTTTCATCGACACTCAGGAGGAATGTCTACCGAGAAAGATGGAATCAGTTCATTTTGTGATGGGCAACAGTGATGATCGAACTAATAATCGATTAATCCAATTCATAAGGTACTTCCAAGATGAAGTAGTAACTATTTGATTTCCAAAATAATGACATCAATTTGAACAGGAGCAAGACAGTGAAGCAATTGCCTCTATCAGAGGCGTTGATAGTACCCGAAACCACAAGTATTTATGAAGCCCGCTGTCAGATGGTTGCTCAAAGATCTGATGTTCTTGTACTCACTAACTCAGATGCGTTCCTCACTGGGGTATTGACGAACAAGGTCTGTCTTGAATTTATAATCACCCACACATTTACAGAAAGTTAATTACCTTTTCTGGTGTTTTAAGGATTTTGCCACAAGGGTTATTGCCTCATGAGATTGATTTGGTGAACACGCCTGTGTCAGAGGTGATGACAGAGAACCCAATTTTCGTTTTGTCTGATACTCTTGTAGTGGAAGCCCTGAATTACATGGTGAAAGGTTGGTAAAAGTATTTAGGATTAATTGTATGTTGATTGTTGGTGTTAATTTGCTGAACTTTCTAATTAATCCTATGAATTAATTTATGCATATGCAGAACAGTTTAGTCAGTTACCTGTTGTAGAGAATGGCAAGGTTATTGGTTTACTTCACCTGCTTTTATCTTTATTTGATGAAACGGAAGATATGGAAACGGCAGCTGAAAATTACGACAAGGTTGTAGAAGCTGCGCATGCAGTGCAAAGAGTCACACAGAGGTAGTATTTATTAGGATGAGTATTTTTGGATAAACAAGAAATTTGTAAATGAAAAAACAAGTCCTATTATTATTATTTTATTTTTGTCTAAAATGGCTCATTTGTGCTAAAGATATTTTCTCGTTCTTGAAAAATTAACCGTGTTTCAAAATAATATATTTTACATGTACTTCTGAACAGCGCTTTAACCGTGGAGGAATTTCCTCGAGACAGTGCCATGATTATACCTGAAACCAAAACTATATACCAAGCCTGCTGTGATATGGTTGCTGATGAAAGTGATGCTGTAGTACTCACCGGCTCAAATGTGATATTCAGTGGTATATTGACAAAAAAGGTTTGTCTTTAATCTCAACATTAATTTAAAACCAATCCATCGTTGATTGCTCCATCAGTTTCCCTAACTAGGTTTTTTCGTATTTGAAGGATATTGTATCAAGAATCATTCCTTGTGGGATGGATATTGTAAACACACCTGTGTCAATGGTGATGACAAAGAAGCCAATTTTTGTGTCCTATGATACTCTTCCCAGGGTAGTCCTGCCAAAGATTGTACTGCAAGGTTTGTATCCAGTAGGAAAAATTGCATGTTTGCTTTCGTGTCAGATGGTTTAATTCATTAAAGTTAAGATGAGAAACGAAACAGAGGTTTTGGGGCTAACTTTTATGTGTTTTTCTATGTCCATTTGTCAACGAATACAAGAGTAATTTAAATAAAACCAATTTCAACTACTTATACTAAAAAGACTGCAACTACTGCCTACTAAATCTAAAGTGCCCACATGGCCATTTACTTATTCATACTCTAAGCAAAAGACTAAACTACACCTAATAAAACCAAATGCTTTGAACCAGTCACCACTTTTGACTAAAAGTGAGGTTTTAAACCCAACATATATAGGTTGCAAACGTTGCTTTGTAACTCAATTCATAACTCAGTTTTAGCTTCATCATAAAAGCCTTTGGCACCAAGTTATATGTCCCCTTTTTTACCGTTGCTGTACCTTCTAATCAAGTGATTTAATCTATGAATGCAGGACAAGGGACACATTTGCTTGTGAGAGAGAACGATGAAGATGGTGGTGGTTTTATTTACCATTCACTGAGTATACAGGGTGGTGTTCTCACCAATACAAGAACGACTACTAAAAAACATAGCTTCTAGATGCTCCACAACATACATCTGTAGATCCCCCACAGCAATCAAGTAAACCACTTCCAGGTGTGAACAGAAATGTGGATTGCTATGAAACAGATGGTCCTAGTCTTACACCTTTTGTGCACGTGTCCAGTTCACCATATCCCAACATTGATCCTTATGATAAATTTGTCGCCCCTACAGTTGTGTCACGTCACCCGAAGCAATCAAGTGAACCACTTTCAAGTGTTAATGGCAACGACAAGTGGGATGAAACTCATGGTCCTGGTCTTACACCTTTTATGCGCGTGTCCAACTCACCATATCCCAACGTTCATCCTTATGATAAATTTGTTGCCCCTAAAGCTGTACTACGTCACCCGGAGCAATCAAGACCAGGTGTTAATGGCAACAACGAGTGGGATGAAACTCGTGCTCCTAGTCTTACATCTTTTGTGCGTATGAGCAATTCACAATATCCACATGATTCTTCTGATAAATTAGTGGCCCCACCTCCACAACATACAGATGTACGTCCCCAGGAGAAATCAAGTAGAGCACTTCCAGGTGTTAATGGTAGCGATGAGAGGGATGAGAATCATGGTCCAGGTTTTACACCTCTAATGCGTTTGACTAATTCCACATATCCCAATTATTCTCAGGTGACTATATCTCCAAATCTAAACAATCTTGTTGTTGATTTAGTCCCCCCTCAACAACATAGATATTTAGCTGTGAATGGCAAGGGTGATGATCAGACAAACAAAAAATCATCCACTAATATTGGGTATGTCTATGACGAATTAGTCACTACTTCATTTTTAGCATTAACGAGAAACAAATATTTTGCTTGCCTTTCGACGACAATTAGTTTTTGATTGTCCTATGAAGGACCCCAGCGATATACTTGAAATTAGGGACAAATAGTTTGTCTGAAATATAACATAAAGCAAACATTTAATAACTAAAATTAGATCTGACACTCTCCATTTTTTCAACTAAACATCTAAATCTTGATTACCTGTGTTTTTAATATGATGGCATGCATTTTGACAGGGTTTCAATAGAAAAGGAAGACAGTGGAGCAAATGGGTATATCAGAGGCCTTGATATTACCTCAAACCACAACTATTTATGAAGCTTGCTGTGCGATGGCTCTTCATAGAGCTGATGTTCTTGTAGTCACCAAGTCAAATGGGTTACTTACTGGGATACTAACAAACAAGGTTTGTCTTAAATTTTAAATCAAACCATTATTTACTTGTTAGTGTATCCCACATTGGTGGGATACAGGATTCAAATTATTTATATATGTTAGAGCATCTCCTGTCTCCAAAAGTGCTTTTTTGGAGAGACAATATTGTAAGAAACTAAGCAAAACAATTTCTTGTATGAAGGAAGAAACGAAACAGTGAACATAAATATGAGAAGATAAGATTACTTGCTCTCAAAGTTAAAACAAAAATATGAGAAGATAAGATTACTTCTAAAACAATAAAACAAAAGACTTTGACTCCTACTATAAAACTGGGAAACACAAATTAATAAAAGGAAACAATCTAATTTTGCCCTTCAACTAACCGATTAACCCAACAAATATTAGGCTCCACATATATTTTATATGTGGAGCCTAATATTGTTTCTCCAAAAGAGCCCTTATGGAGAAAGGGGAGGCTCCAACATATATAGACACTTATAAGACGGTGTCGCACCAATGCATGATACACTAAGATTACCATGTTGAAGAAAGTTGATTAACCATTTTGTTGTTTAAAGGATATTGTAAAAACAGTGATCGCTTCTGAGATTGATTTGCTGAACACACCTGTCTCAAAGGTGATGTCATGTAACCCATCTTGTGTGATGTCTGGTACGCTTTTTGTGGATACCCTTAAAAAGATGGAATATAAAGGATTTACACAATTACCTGTTATTCAGAAGAATGGAAAGGTAACCGGTTTATTTTATAATACGGGGGGTGTCCGCAATGACTAACTACGAGAAAGTTTTAGAAGTTGAAGCACAAGGATCCGCTCCGAGGTAGTATTTACCCTTTTTATATTTGTTGCAAGCAAACTAACATTCTTGCAAATAAAGTATAACACCTTCTAAAAATGCTAAATTTTTGGATAAACAAAATAAATTAAAATGTAAAAATGTGCCTTTCTTATCTGTTTTAAAATGGAGCCTTCTTTAAACAATAATCTCTTTGACTTTTTCATAAGAACAATGTTATATCTCTAGAGACGATCACTGTTAAACATGAACATCCAAAACTCGATTAACTATATTTCCATAATAATGATGTTTAACTATTGACATGTATTTAAACAGGGGTCTGAAAATGAAGCAGATGCCTCTAGAGCATGCCTTTATGGTACCTGAAACCACAACTATCTATGAAGCATGTTGTCGGATGGCTGCTGGAAAATTTGAGGTTGTAGTACTCACCGACTCAGATGGATTATTGATGGGTATATTGACAAAAAAGGTTTCTCTTCAATCTTCACTTTAATTTAAAATCAACCAAATAGTGATTATTCCACCAGTTTCACTAACTACCCTTTTTTATGTTTAAAGGATATTGTAGGAAGAGTCATTCCTAGTGCAATTGATATTCAAAAAACAACTGTCTCGAAGGTGATGAAAACAAACGAAATATTGCTGTCTTGTGATACTCTTCCTGTGGAAACCATGCAAGAGATTGTGAAAAGTACGTAACTTTGAAAAGAAAAAACTATATGTTGGTCTTTGGCGAACCTTCTAATCTTGTGATTTAAATTATGAGTGCAGGTGGATGTTTAGATTTGCTTGTTATAGAGAATAGCGAGGATAATAAATTGTTTTATCTGCCGTTGGCTACTTCTTTTCCTTATTAATGGATACCGTATTCTGGTTATTATGAAGACGATGATACGTAAGCTGTTGAATCGGGTGTCTATAACCACAAAGGTGAGTTAATTACCGAAGAACACATTTCCCATAATACCTTATTGTATTTTTGAGTTTTTCATGTACAATATCTGATATGTGTAAATATTTATGCCAGATACTTTATGTAATAACTATTACTTGTTGCATTGACAAAATTATTTATACTTTGTAATTCTCAAATAGAGAGGGGGGGTGGGGGGGGGGGGGGTGGTTATCTACTTTAGATTGAGTATGAGACTTGTAAGTTGTGACTGACAGTCTATAAAATCGTTTACGAGGGGATAGGTCTTGTAACCTATGTCTTGGTTTCATGTGTGTTAGATGCATGTTATCAAAATATTTGTTTGAGGTCTCCAAACGGGTTTTGAATGTCATGCTACTAATTTGTTTATACTTTGAGTTACCAAATTTCCCCTCGGGCTTTCCTTTAGAGACAAAGGGGCTTTGTATTGTGAGAGTAGATGTGATGAGTTTTAGCTTTATATTATATATATATCTATATATATATATATATATATATATATATATATATATATAGAGAGAGAGAGAGAGAGAGAGAGAGTTATGTTCAAATGAGAATATTTTTTATAACGAGAACAATTGATAACAAATTTAAACCACTCATTTATTTTTTCTATTTTCTTGTCTGCACCTCCCTCCGACTCACTCGTCCCCTCATCGGAAACCACTTTCATCTACTGTCATCGAGCTCCTTTCCTCCATAATCTCCAAGCTTTTCATCCTCGTATTCTCGTTTCTCCTCTCATAACCACCATTTCTTCTTTGGAAGACGATCCCCTCGCCAAACAAACGATTGATTTGATTTCTGAATTGTGTTGGTCAAGTGATTCTTTAATATACAAGTTTTTTGCTGGGGTTTCAGATCTCGATTATCTTTTGGTTCCTTATTTTGGAGCAGGCCTCGAATATATTTGGTAATTGTCATCTATTCCTTACACCATATTGTTCTTATGAGTTCTGAATGACGTCAAATACATAATTGTTGCATGATTAGTGATTCTTGTTGTTATTGTTGCTTCATTACTCTTTCATTTGGGGTAATTAACTTCTATCTTGTTTCATATAATCTCATAGACATTGTGACAACTTACAGATTTTTTATGAACACCAAGTGTTCGATGAAATGCCTCAATGAAAAAACCTCCACAAATAAATCAAGAATAAGGTAGTATATTTATTGTTGCAGTCTGTAGGTGCTTGTTGATGATTTTTTTGCTGAAACAACATCATTTTGATGTCTCTGTTTAATTTGCCTTTGTTTTTTTACTGAACTTTATTTCCTCAAAGTGACATTTTATTTGAAAATCCTTAACTTTGAATCCGCATTAAGCCAAACATTAAGGCCCTTAGGTTAAATTGAATTTCACATCTCTATAGCCTAATAAGTAACCAATAATCATGTTAAAAGTGATCAACTTAAGGCTTAACCATTAATTCATTAATAGAACACAAAAAATGATTTAGAAGATACTAGTTGTGTACCCGGGCAAAGCGGCGGCAACGAATAGTTTCTTTTGACAATTAGTTTCGTTCAGAAACATGTTGTATTTCTAGGAATATTATTATTGTTATCGGTCAGTTTTACAACAACGAATAGTTATAACCCTTGGAATACGTAAGGATTTAAAACTTTAATGTCCACAAATTATGCTTATTCTTGTAGTTATTTGTAGGTAAATGTTCGGAAAAGTCCTAATATTTCACCCTAATTTACGAAAAGTCTCAAACTAAAATTTGTTTATGGAAAAGTTCCGATTATCGGAAAAAATGACGATTTGACCACTTTTTCCGGTATATCGGTTTCAATACTTGCCCAGTTTCATTAAAGTCTCATTATTTTACCATAATTTTCATTAAAGTCCCATTATTTTACCATAATTTGGACTTATTCGTAAATTATGGTAAAATAATGGGACTTTATTAAAACCGGGTACGTAATGAAACCGGTAAAACCGAAAAAATAGGGTCAAATCGTGATTTTTACCGATAATTGGGACTTTTTCGTAAACTAATTTTAGGTTGAGATTTTTTCGTAAATTAGGGTAAAATATTTGGATTTTTCCGGAGATTTCCATTATTTGTATCAAATAATTTTATTTAACTAATTTAAAATTTTATTTTTTTCATTTTAGTACTCAATTAAAATAATTATCAATAATAGTCATGATAGTAAATACGAAATCAATATGAATTAAAAATAAAGAGTTGGTACTGAATATGAAATACGTATCAATACATGTTTGATCGTACATTATTAATCGTGGTTTGTGCAACATTTCTTTACACGCCACATTTGATGTATAAACTTATCACTTTTGAATTTTTTGTTAGATTTCAGTAATGCTTTTATATTGTCACGTGATATCATTCTGGAAGATACCACATAACATAGGTCATGCTAGAATATTGATTTTAAAAGACAGATATCTACATTTAAGAGGCAAGGGTTTGTCATAAGGAGCTAGAGCTAAAAATACATAGAGAAAATTAGATTTCATGATGGTGGGGGTGGGGGTTGGAAGATAGAAATTTTAATCGACTTATTGAAGCTTAACAAAAAGTGTTAAGAAGAAGTGACCAAACATAATGAAGCATGCGGGATAAAAAAATAATTTAACTGAACGCTTAAAAAAATCTTTTATGATTAATCAGGTAACTATGCTTTAAAAACATTAGTATCCAATTATATTTGTAATGATATTATAAGGTTATGAGTTTACATGTTGACATAATATGTGTTGCGAACCATTTATTTATTAAAAACTTCTTTCATTTCAAAAAATGAAAAACCAATGTTTTAAAAATCAGTTTTTTAGTTGAATCCGTCTGGTGGTTAGTACCCGGCTCAATATGTTTAACCGCCGATTTCAACTAAGAAAATTTACATCTAATAGTGGTGTGTGTCAGCAGTCCAGTTATGTACACTCGAAAAATGTTCGATTTGCTTTCGAAATGAGTTTTTTTTAACGGGCAAAGGAAATCCAACTATACAAGTCTAAAAAACATGTTCAAACGTCTTGTTATTGGTTTTATCATATCAATTCAACCCAGTTTCTGAAAAAAAAAACGGTATGGTTCGATCATGTCTAGACATCAACCCGGTTGTTATTGAACCGCTCTTGTCACCGGTTCACGGTCCAACTTGTTTGACCGATTTTTAAAACACTGCAATAAACTACTTAA